GCGCACTACTTGCAAAATGCCAATTTTTCTGTGCGGCATCCGCACATCTATTCAAAAAAAGTGTGCGCAAAATTTTGGTTCTGTGTGCTGCGCACAGTCCGCACAGTGAAAAATCATCACTGTATATAGTACATATTATTAATTAATATACTTTGAAAGTTATCATTATTCTGATCTTAAAAATTTTGAAAAATATTAATTCATAAACATTATAAAATAAAAGAGTACAAATATTTCTTTGAATTCAATAACAATAATCATACCTTTTTGAAAATAAAAAGGCCACGATTCAAGAAATAATTTTAGAAATGATGTTTTCGTTCTACTAAATTACAATTTTATCATTATCATTAAATTTTTTATTTGATGCAAACTAATTTGGTTGTTTAGGACCTTTTTTAAAAGCTTGAACTCTATTCAAAACATCTTTACTGAAAGAAAGTTTTGATCGCTTTTAGATTTTCTATTCTTTTCTTGTGCCGAGCTAATTTACAGAAAAAGTTTAAACGGCTATACGTTGTGAAAGTGGTAACTACTCCGGAATCACAAAATATGGGTCACACGATATCAATCACACTAAAACTAAAAACAAACACACTAAACACTATCTAATCCAGCCCTTAGTGGCAGGCTACGATTGAGAGAAAGACCCAACGTGTAGAGAGAGTTGTCTGTACACGTTGTTAACCCCAAAATCGGCGAGTCTGTCGATTGAGTGGGGTTAGCTCCGTGTAACCAAAGATTGCCTCGAAGGAGGCGTGTTAGATTTGGCGAGTGGTCAAGCAGAGTTTCTGGGTAGAATAGTACTTGTAACTACTCTTAGTTAGTGTGTGTGTGTATTAAGTATAAGATTTATGTGTTATTAGGGATAGACTTATATGTATTACTATTAGTTTATGATTTTATAAAAGCAAAGTGGGAACTTGTTATTGCCAAAGGCCTTTATTATAATAATGATTCTTCTATCTACAAAAACTGTCTATTACTACAAAAATACCCTTATTGACAGAAACGGCCTTTATCGTTATTGCCAAAGTCCCCAATAAGTCCAAAATCGCCGTTCCTGCCATTTCTGTAATTTCTATCGTTTCTGCCAGAAATGGCCGTTCTGTAATTTCTGGCCGGTAAACCTGAATTTGGAAATATCTGAGGTCACCGGGGCACGTGCCTGCTTCAGGTCACGTTTCCGGCTTCACAACGTGATAATCAATGCATTTCTTATTATTAAATGTCGCAGCTGATGCTGAAAACGGCCGATGCTGTAATTTGGGGTCTCTATTTAAATCTATAATACCTACTAAAATCCACATATACTTTTTTATTAATAAAACTACCCTACTTACCCTAACCTAACTATGAAAAAAAAGTGTACAAAAAAGACCCTAAAATTTTTTATAAATTCATAATAAAATATGAAAAAATTTCAGCATCAGCTGCGACATTAAATTTGCGACAAGCTTTAAGATTTTAATGAAAGAATTACCACTATACAGTAAAATTTCGCAAGGAAAATTTTTTGTTAGAGTGTAAAAATCGGTTTGTTATGTAAATTTTTGTGTTGTGAACGATTTTAAAAACGGCAATTTTTTTTACGCTATTCCTGATCGTGTTACATTATATTGATCATAATTAAGTCATCAGTCAATTATCACATGTGCGGATAAGTTCTCCTACACTCTGATACTGTTACAATTGAGATGTGGTGAGATTTAGTTTGAGTAATTAGGAATTTATATTACGTCACGCAGCTCTAATTTGGATCACGATACAAATTTAACACCTTATTATATTGAACTCTGAGTTCTGAACTCTTTCTGAGCTATCCTTTATTAAAGTGAATAGCGTTCCTTTATATACATGTTATTACATGTAGAACAAATTAGTAAAATTTCTAAATTTTGGAAATTTAACAAAATTAATAAAATTGGAAAATTTTGTCGATACTTTTGAGGCGCAGTTCATGGGTAGAATCTGCGCGTTACAACATACGTACGTTGTCACAGGGTTGCGACCCAAACCTACTAGTTTGGGATCCCAAATAGTATTTACTAGGTTTCGCAAAATACCTCTAATTTGCTGTAATGTCAAACATTCTGACATATAAATTATATTACAGCTAGAAATCCCAAATTTTTTACATGTAAAATCTGGTTTCGGACTCATATCAAACAAAGAGATTGTTTAAAGTCCGGCACCTTGCCAATAAGATCACGAAATTTTGTCATCAAAACTTGATTTACATATAAGTCATCTTGTTTTGCATACTCTTCATATAGTCAACCCTTCGTACACTTCATTTCTAATACATGTTACTCTGGATATATCAACAAATTTTTTTATTAACAAAAAATTTAAAATGTGATACAGTGAGTTATACTGATATTTTATATTAAAATTTTGAAAATTTTTGAAAAAAAAATGTTGATATAGAAAGATTTCACTGTGATGTTTCATCTACAGTATATTTCTTTGATAAGATATATGTTTGACATTATGACAATCCTTTTCTTTGATAAGACATATGTTTGACATTACAACAATTCTTTTCTTATACAAGACATTTCCCTGACAATAATTTTCACCATATAATTCTAACTAACACTAATTCTAAATCAGGCTAAATTGAGCAATTTTATGTCAAAGAAATGATTATCAGAGAAATGTTTTCTCTAAGAAAGTATTGTTAAAATATGTAATGTCGAATATATGTCTTATCGAAAAAATGTGCTGTAGATGAAATAGCATGTCAGCATAGCTTTCAGGGAATTGAATGACAATCATATTCATATATACGATTTTATCGTTATGATATTGTAGAAATAACAAGTTTCATTTTTTTATGCCTGTATGCAGATCCCAAATCAAGTAAAACAAAAATACGTCTATGCTAGTGCAATAAAATAATACATAAATCAATAATACAAGCATAACTTGCACATATCACAAATAATTCTTATATTTAAAAACTATAACTAGGAGAAAATTTAACATATCTTTATGATATTAAAGAATAATATAACTGTGCCAATATAGAGATGTGCCATATGCATTATGCAAGTAATGCTGCATACTACATAATGCTGTATAATGCGATGCAAGTTGCCTAAGATTTAAAAATGCACATAGAAGTTATTATGTAATTTTAATCTATGTTATTTCATCAACAATCACTTTATAGGCACTTGTTCTTATCAAAATCAATATCCTGTGAAATTCAATAAAAAATTAATCTACCAGGTCTGTTTCTACTATATAAAACTAATAGTTTATGTTTTCAACTCCGATAACCTCTCAGTAATAATTCAAAGTCTGTTCACTGTAATAAGTTTTGAGAAGTTCACAGTATATTATACAGAATTGCATAATGCATCATGCGAAATAATGTTGCATTATGTGATGTAAAGCCAAAAAAACTTGCATTCTCACATCTCTAATTACGACGAATTCAACACAGTTTTGCTTGCTATCTGCTATTATTAATTACTGATTGATATTGAAATTGATCAATAAAGATCAAAGACCTGGCTTTATCAATGTAGAATAGTCGTGACAGTTTTTTGTATGATCTACTTACTAGTCGACTTACACTTGCCTCCAGGCACGGTAAATCCAAATCCCCCAAAGACAAATTTAATATTCCATTGTTAATATACGTAAGTTGTAATATATTATAACTTACACGATTTTGTAGTAAACATATAAAAATTGCAGGTATGTTACTTCATAAATTAAAAAGAAAATTTGAAATTTAATGTAATAATTTAAACCATATGGACAAACCAATACTATAGTAATTTGGGCTGCAAATATAATCACGACTATTCTACCTTCCTAATAATTTTCAAGTTTCAATTATTATATGTAATTACTTCAATTTTGTGGCCCTATTTGTAATTATTTTCATTTTTGCCCTTATAAATCTATATATAGTACTTACATACTATTCATTAGAAAAACAAATGTTATAAATCTTTTAAGGAAAACAATATTAATATTTTTATAATAAATATATTTATATACTTACTTTCTAGAATCAAAAATGATTGCAAATTTATGTACGTACGTTAAATGGTAATAAAAGGCGATTAAGAAAAAATATCATTAAAATGCTTTGTACTCACGATCTAAAAATTGATTAAAAATTGGATAAATAAATTTACAATGTTCATATAAACATTTTTGGATCTACAGTAAGAGCTTGAGAAAACAATTCCTACAGTACAGTATATGTATAACAAATACTCTGATTTATCGAGAATTTTTGTAACACAAATATATGTTTGAACATAAATTGGTCTTCGATTACTTTCACGTGTAAATTTTGTTATGTCAAGCTTTGACAGTACACTATATAGTTTTTTTTTTTTTTTTTTTTTTGAAGTATTACTTCATACTTACATTCTTTGAGTTGATTAAAATAGATACGAAATCTGTGTTAATAAATAAAACAATATCGTAATACACAAATTAACAGAAAGAATCAATGATGCATGTAGCGCATTATTAGCCTACCAATTTTTGGTAAAGAAGTGTTTCTATATGAGGTAGCTGAAGTTGTAGTAAATGCAGTAGAAGTAGCTGACGTAGTAGTAGAGGCAGATGAATTTTCATTATTCATCACATTTATTTCTTTTGATATTTTAGTAGAATTATTTTGGAATAACGTAATTGAATTATTATTCTTATTTTCATTTGTAGTTACAGTATTTTTTGGTGACAATACGGCAGTCGAAATTACTTGAGAAGGTGTAGCAACAGCCTTATTTTGTGTAATAAATTTTGTCTCAATATCTCTCCATAACTTAGGTTCAAAGATTCGCTGATAGGGACATAACTTATTTAAATAATCATCAGCAGTAATTTGAGAATATCGGATATAAGGTAGACAATTTTTAAGCGTAGATTTTAAAGTTAAAAAATTTAAATTAGACCACCCATCAGGATTAGAACTCAGACCAAAGTTTCGAGCAATTCCCCATTTAATAACTTGATCCCAAATTTTGCCTTCATTTGTATGTACGGTCTCAAGTTTCAAGAAAGAGATCAAAGCTTTTTCTGAAATACTTGCAAAATCTTCTGAATCAAATAGAACACTTGAATTTTTAGCAATCATATCATTACAAAGTTGTTGTAAAATTTTAAAATTATCACTTTCAAAAGTTATTTTATAAATTTTAGCAAAATTCAAACGAATCCACGATTTATGATTCTTAATCAATTGCATTTGCGAAGCATCAACTAGCTCCTTGAGATTAAACTGATTAGCAGTATCTAATAGATCAAGAATCGTAGAGGCATCAACTTTATCAAATTGAACGAAACCACCGTAAATATACCTATATTATTTTAGAAGATTCAAAATTACTGTATATTAGATTCAAATAGAAATCGAATTTATTGATAGATATATAACCTACTCAATAATAATTTTAAATATATTAACAGAGACACGAGGTTTACTAATTTTTTTAACATTTTTTTCATTAAAATTTATCTTGTTTAACTCGTTACGAAAATAAGAACATCGAAAATTTAAAATAATTGAATGGGCTTTAAATATTTGACGGTTTGGTGTTTCACCGACTTCAATTAATACATTATAATCTTCTTCAGTTCTGAGGAGATCCGTTAAATCGTTGGAAAGTTTTTTGAAGGATTCCATTTTTACAAGGTGTAAAAAGTGTAAAAAGATGAAGAGTACACAAAAGTTGAAAATTACGTGCAAAAAAATCCAAAATATTTGCAAGGAAAATTAAATTTACTTCATTATCGTTATCTTTACGTATTACCTGTCACCATTTCATAACACAATAAGATATACCAAATTCTGAAATTTGTGATCAATAACAAGAATGGCGGGCTTTTATCCGATTGGTTATCATAATCAAGTATTGTTACAAACGCGATTCGTGTAACCAAAAATCTACTAATTAACCTCTAGCCGATTAATACATAGCTTACAGTTACTACCGCTAATCATAGGGACCTGCTTAAGTCTGTGAATTTGTATTAGCCCTATGCTTATTCCGAATCTATTTGGTTGTACTTTTGTTTTTGTAACGAATACATTGATTTTAAAAAATATCTTGTCCTTTAAAATAAATTAAATGATTATTAAAAAAATCTCTAATTTCATTCCGTAAATTATCTGACATTCTAGAATTATTCATTAAAAAATCATTGAAATTTAAAACTTACCCATTGCTCCCCTAATATAGTAGTATCGACACAAACAAAGCTAATAGGTTTATAGTAATTGTGTCTATAGTATATTTCAAAAATATTTGATTTTTGTATACGAGCAGTCAATATATTCTGTTGTCACACTCGGAATTTACCTCTTAATAGAATTCAAGGGACGGGATACTACAGCGTAAAGACTATATTTATGGTGAAATGGATGAGTAATATAGGCGTCGATGATACTACTTATCAAAGAGGATTCAATAAGGCTTTATCGAAAGAGGCAACAACTAATTGTATATGAGGATACAAGTAGTCGTAATAATATCTTTATTATTAAGATAATTTAGTGAGAGCGAAGTCTAAACTAGATCAAGGGAAAAGCCAGGGCTTTTTATACATGTTTAAGAAAAGTACTATTTAAGGCTTTATCATACTGTTGCATGTTTTATTAATTTTTTATCTTCTATTTTTTCACTAATAAATATTATTATCTTTACAATCCCTCCAAATGAAACAATTGAAACTATAGTAATTGACACAGTTATAACGCTATTAAGAAACGATGAATTTTGCAAAGTTTCAGAAGTTGTTGAAGGAGATTGGATCGTTTTTGAAGGATTAATAGGTGATGAATCTTTCGATGTGTCAGAAGTTATAGAGGTAGATTGGAAAGTTTTTGTAGGATCATAAGATGTAACCCATTTATAATTATCTTTTTGGCTCACATCAAGAAGAAAAACATTATTTGTACTATTTTTGCCTTCGACATCTGAAATTTAAAAGTTAAAATTTGAATTTTAAATTTTAGGATTAAATTTATAAATTTATAAAAATATATTTTCCAAGTCTATATTTTTTTCTCCAATACTTGACATTAATTTTATCAAAGAAAAAATTTCAATGATACTTACTAGACGCACCAAAAGCTATAAAAATATAAGTTCCTATTAGAATCGAAGTAAATTGTCTTAAAGTAGCGCTGGGACCACCATTTGAGATTGTAGGACTTGTCCATTCAAATTTATGAGTATCAAGTGCCATAATTGAAGAATCCGGGTATCCATAAAGAATCAAAACTTGATTAAATTCTGCTAAGTTTAAAGAAAATGTATGTATCATTTTAATAATCTAAATAAAGTAGATCACTTTGTAACTCCAAAGCAAAAGAGATAATAAAATGAAAAAAAACATATAGTCCTATTACTCATTGTCTAATATATGATAAATAAATAATTTTAAGTGCATTTCAATGCTAAATACATGTACGTATTTAAAGATGCTTATTTTCGAAATTAAGTAATCTTATATGCATAATTTGCTACTTACATATAAAAATTGCTCCGTGATCAAATCGTAACGAGGGAATATTTCCTGTTGTCGACTAAGTATGAACATAATAATGAAGGACTAACAACAAGAATTAAAGTTAGTAAAGCAATTAATTATACATATAAACTATTAAACAAAATGTTTGATCTAAGCAACTTACTATTGGAATCATAGAATCGGTAGTTATATTATATAATTTTACCTTTATCTATTTAGATCATGCAATATTAATTAACAATATCTCGCAATTGTAATAAACAAAGTAATTGAAATAATAAATCAAACCTTTTCAAGTGTAATGTTTGCAGTATCTCCTGGTGAACCTCCAATATATAATATAGATGTATTGTCTAAAAGTGCAACACCATAAGCCTGAATAGCATTTAATGATGGTACTAGTAAAGATTCCGTCCAAGTTAAATTTAACGTGTCCAATTTAATCATAGTATTTCCAGTTCCTCCATAAATGTATATTACATCTCCTGAAAGAATACATTTAATAAAAGTTGCATTATAGTTTGCAGGTGCATTTAAATTGTTCCATTCTTGTGTCGTAATATTGTACATGGAACTAAAATTATTTCCTGCCATGCCATAACCACCAATAAAAATAATTTGATTTTTATTGGCACCATCAATACAGGCTGTCCCGCTAGTTCTAGTTAATGGACTTGAAGGAAGGTTAACCCAAGGCATTGAAGATATATCATTTATATTAAATGATGATGAAACATCGAGATAAAAAAGGTCAGAAAGGAACAAGCCTTCACTAATCCCGCCGTGAATATAAATTTTATTATCGAGAAGAACAGAAGCAGATTCTGATCTCGGGATGGGAATGAATCCATTTGTACAATTAACAATAATTAAAATGTAAAGAAAAATTAACATACTTAATGTAATGTAATAAAATTTGAATTTATAACGAACTTTATTTTTTATTACAGTATTAACCATTAAATTAAAAACAAGTATATTTGGAAATGCAGTTTTTTTTTTTTGTTTCTGAATGATGTAGCCTGCTTTTTTTTTTGTCGGCAGCACGTTTTTTAAATCGGAGTTCACATATAATCACTAATAAATTTATCTGTCACATAAATTTTCCGACTATGAAATTAAACGGTAATCCCCGGAATTTTACAAGTTTTGTGCTCTGTACGCACATACGCAATCTTTCGAATTATTCAATGTACACAGGCGTGGCGTGCTTTATCATGATAAAAATAAATTATTTATAAGAGAAAAGAATAAAGAGTTTGTCATGTTAAAGAACACATTAATAAATATATTTTTTTGTGTGTTTATTTACTAATTCGAAAGTTTGCGTATCATGCTAAAAATAACTTATTTATAAAAAAAAAAAAAAGAATAAAAGAACTTTGCCACATTAAAGATAACATTAATAAAAGTAACTTTATTTGTGTACATGGGACACTTGAAGAACAAGGACCAGTGATTATCACATCACGTGAATTATGCAATAACATCTTTGTTTACCAACGCTAATAAATTAACCTAGGCTATTATCACCTAACACTAACTCTAACCCTAATTTATGTTGAGTTTAATCATGTGATGTGACGACCACGAAGATATTCCTGGTTTCCTTCTTCTTCAAACTACCCGAATTGAGTGCCAGGTTTATGTCACAACTTCCCGAACTACAGATAAGTGAAACGTAACATGATTAAGATTCAAAACAAATGTTCGTTGCGTCAAAATTCACCTATTCTCAAAAATTCACATAAGAAACCACCTTTAGTCTCTAACAAAAATATTTTCTTGATATAAAGATAACGTAAGAAAGAATTCCTGATTTATTTTGGATTAAGCCCGGTTTTGTATATAAAAAATAAAACCGATTCCAACTAGGTATGAGAATTGACGGCTGTTAGACTAATTAAATATAAAATTATTATGTATTATTACCTGTTTATTATTATAGACTATAGTTGTTAAACGAAGCCTTTTTCATATAATGAAACCAGTGTTGGAGAAATTAGTGGTCGACCAAAAATTTACTGGTCAAATTGGTCAAATGGTCGAACTGGTCAGATTGGTCAAATCTATTAT